CGTAATAGTCAGCGATTATCTCATAGAGAGTGGGATAGAGGAAGCTAAAGCCTACTTTCTAATTACGATCATCGGGATAGCCCAATCGATCGGGGCCCTGTTAGCTGGTTTCACCGCTTTTATTCGTCACATAGCCTACGCTAACCATTGGGTTTACACCGTATCCGTGGCCGGCCATGCAATATCGAGCATGCTGTTTAGTACTGGCGGAACATTCGGCGTCTTCGCCCTGTATGGAACACTATTCGGGTTCTTTTTTGGTATGCAGCTGGGAGCGTTGGCAAACGTTGTCATAGATTTATTCGGAATTAAAAAGTTCAACAACAGCTTTGGTCACTTCCTGTTTGCCGAAGGAATTGGATATCTAATTGGAGGTCCCATTGCAGGTACGGGTGTAAAAATTAATTTACGACATTCTTAGTGATAATCTTACCGAATTTTACATTTCAGAATGATTTTGTTATCTGCTGCCCAAAAATTTGTACATGGTTCACTTCTACATGCAAGTCGCTCTACCAATAGCTTTTCCTAATTTTATGAAGCTGGCAATACATAATTAATGTTATGCATACTTTACTGTAAATATAGGAAATGATTCCTTCTCATGATTGATTAATCGATCACGCACTTAATCAACTGATCGGCTGGCCGAATATTTGATTAATGGTTAGATGGATTGATTGGGCACTTAATAGATCGATTGATCGATTTTTGATGATTTAGGTGCAATTCGTGATTACACTAGGAGTTACGTCATATCGTTCCTGTGCGCTGGTTCGTTCAGTCTGCTGAGTTCTGCTCTCCTCGTCCTGCTGTATATCCTCGACAAAAGAAAAAAACCCGCACCGACCGACGTTGACGGAAAGCAACGCCACTCTTTAGTAGATCATCAGAGAGCTGAGGAACAGTATCACCCTCGCACGATGTCTACGCTAACAGCTGAGATTGAGGTAGCTGACGCTCATAACATCCAGGTTCCTTGTAACCCTGTCACGCGTGAATAGTACTATTTATTGATGTGGGCAGTGATATTGCACTGAAAATATACAAATAGCATAATGTGGCCGTAATTCAATATACATACCTATACTACTGTTTACGCGGTATATGAACTGAATACAACTCGCGTATCACGTATATGTACATCATGTGTGAAAGAACGACGTGAAAGAAATATTTACTACCGAACATTGTCTATATATGTAAGTTAGATATATGTACTTAGAACCGTGCTATCACTCATTCATGAATCTGCACAATACGTGCACTTGTATATTATCAGAAGTTGATAATAGGGAATCCCTATTATCTACTTCTGATATTATGTCACTCGCCTGCCTGAAATGAATTATATAACGAGCGTTGTAAGGCATCGAGTCTAAGAAAACTGCTAGAATCAAATCAAGTTGAAAAATGTTGTCTCATGATGTAGCAAACGCGCTTAATTCCTTTCTTATTGTCTATTCATGGTGTGTACTGCCAGCGATCGAGTCTGCATGCCTTCTACGTGGCGCAAGGAAATCTTGTATGTTATAAGGACAGTGTATAATCATGTATATAGTCCGACAACATTCGCAGCATATTAATTTAACAGATTCAAAAATAAATTACATATAAATGGCGTTTAGTGATACGGAACGCCTTCCCGCTGTAGCAGCTGTCAACATATTAGCTGAGTGCGTACAAAACCCAAGGCACGTACCTTTCCTAGACTCAACGCAACAGGGCACTAGCTCATGAGGTTCAATCGCCAAGATGGTGGGTGGGCCTGGGCCGTACTCTACTCGGCCTTTCTCGTGCATTTCGG